AATCAACTGATTAAAATTATTTGTACGATTTATACAAATAAAAATGATTTACATTTAGTCACTCCCTATATATTTATGCACATATATATTATATACCACCCTTTTTTATTCACAAAGTATAAGATAGTTAAAGAATAAAACAATTGATTTAAATTTGAAACAAAAACCCACAAGTAATAAAATAATTTTAACATTTGAATCCCAAAAATAATAAGTCTGGATTAATAACTTCGAATTCAGCTTATAAATATTATGATGAAGGTTTTTGGTAGCTCATAGTTCAAGGCAATTCTCATATTCTATCAATGTGAGACGAGTTGTTACAAACTCTCCAACTTAAATCCCTGACGTCCTCGCTAGGTCTCCCAACATTTTCGTCGGAGATTTCATAAACACCCCCCTCTCGAGGGTCATCACGCTCGGTGAGGTTATGTTATGAGATCGACTCTGATACCATTTGTAAAATCTTAAGTCCAAAGTAGCGGATTGACTCAATAACTCCGGGTTCAACTTATAACTATGATGAAAATTATTTGTATCTAACAACTTGAGACTTAAACGAGCCCATAAATCTCACTTTCTATCCACGTAGAACGGGTTGTTACAATATTCACACGAGCACTTATAAAACATAAATCAACAATCAATAGTCATTTTGCAACTAAAAAGGGTACGATGTTCCATCAGAAACCCTCCACCGTATATTGGTCTCACGATTGCCATGAGGGAGGTAAGTTGCATGTCTCGTGAGCAGATAGATGATGCTCGGAATCAGATCCTAAACCTCTCACTCATCATGTAATAATGCTCACCCCATTACCCATTAGGCTAAAGCAGCGAGGACAACATTCAATAGTCAAACAAACATTGAAAATACACAATAATTTGCCAAAAGGAAAACGACAAAACCATGGGCACATCAGACATTTGTCGTTGCAAATCCATCGTCGTTATACCACACCAGATGTTAAATAATTGTTATTACACACTTGGCAAAATCCTTAGCGTCGTATAGTACCATGGATGTTTGCAAACCCACCATCGATGCTAACATCTACAACCGAAAAAGCGCCATCTTTGCTTTGTTGCCAAAATCAGCCTTTCCCATCACACGAGGTTCACGCAAAGCCAAACATGAAAATGAAACCAATCGGCAAATCCAAGAGTTTGGTGGGGAAAAAAATCATATTGTGATGGACAATTCTATAATTTTTAATGCGTATATTTATTATACGCAGTATATTTTGAAAACAAGTAAGGTTTCATCTATATATTAAATCAGTAGGGGTAGAGATCAGAGAAAAACTTAAAAAATAAAGGGAGAAATATTTTTTTGAAGGTGGTTATAATTACTTTTTAATCACATCCATCAGATCATCTAAATTCATTTGTTTGAAAGGACTGTTTAATTATATGTTTTTAGGGTTTTTTCTATATCAGTAATTCAGTATTATGTATAAATATATGTGTTTAGATTATAAACCATTAAATATGACTTTAAAAATACATTTTTATTTAATTTAATGTGTCTTATAAAAATTATTAAGATTTATCGATAATTACGATGGTCGTATTGGGTCTAAAGAAGTGGAGAATAATGTGGCCTGGAGCTCCCACTTTTGCTAAATGACAAAATTATGCTCACTTTTTGATAGTATTTTAACTGCTAAAAAGCCTAATTAGCCGTTGTGGTGCTTTTTATTATATGTTTATTTTACAAAAATACGATATTTAATTTCACATATGATTTTTAAAAAGTTATATTATTTAATAAGACAAAATTACGGATAATAAACAATTTCATCAATTTTTAATCCACAAATGAATAAATTTATATCTGAATTTTTTTAAAAATTGTTTTTATAAAATAAAAGAGAGAAAATGATCCAACTTTTTGATCGAATAAATCTGTTAATTGTATAATAAAATAATAATATTAATATTATATATTTTTGGTAATTGTGAGTTTTTGGGCCATCGACTAATTCCATGGACAACTACTAGTGATTTGTAGTTATCATAGCCGAACCTTTGTGGTTATAATTATGAGTGCTTATGGGTTGAGTTAATTGGATTGAAGACATTTGAACAACTCAACTCAATATTTGCGGTTTGAAAAATCTTAACCGAACTCAACCCAAACCAAAGTGCAATCAAACCCAACCCAACTCAAAACGTGCGGATTGGTCGGGTTGATAATTTGGTACATTAAAATATTATTCTAACCTTGAATATGTTATTTCTTTGCTCATAATTTATTTTTCAGCATCAACCATTTTATACAACTAATTCATACTTTTTAAATCTTATGTATATCACATTCAATTAATTTTTTCAATTTGCATATACATGTTCACAATTACTGAACATATACACAAATGAGTTATATAGAGATGTGGACTAGATTGAAAACATGTGTACATGAATAGAGTACGTGATAGTGTAATTATCTAATGTATATATTAATAGAAACTCAAAAATCATATTAAATCCAAGAAATACAAATGATATCGGGTTCATCGGGTTGAGTTGAGTTTAAATAATAGTAACTCAATTTCAACTCAATAGTCACGGTTTGAAAAATTTACAACTCGATTAGACATCATGTTACTTTGGGTTGAGTTATTTTGTATTGGATTGGATTGGACTGATCGAGTTTTTTAGCATACCCAGTTGCAATGGCTTTAACAACGTCTAAATTTGAAGTTGAGATAGATAAGATTTTTCACTATACCTATCTAAAGTTTAACTAGTATGCCACAACTTAAATGGTTTTTAATTACATAAAAAAATTACTACATTAATTAGATATTTATTTTTGGCTTTTAAAAGATTATGGAACCGTTAAACGCACCGGAAATAAAATTTTGGTTGCAAATTAAATCATAAAACTTTTCTAAAACTTAAAACCCAATCGGATCCAATGACAATTAAAACGATAATAAACACCAATTGTAGATTTCAAATTTGGCGAGGATTTTGACGGAGTACGTAGAAACCAATATGGGTTTCCTCTATCGGTTATACACACACGAACACACCAGGTGTGTCCACAGGTGCTAGCCCAAAATCCTAGATAAAAACACGTGTATTACAGAAAAGAAAATTTTATTTTCTGTATTTTTTATGTTAATTCTAAAATAAGTCAATCAGTTAGAAATTGATTTAGTCTATCATCTTATTTATATGATATAATATATTAATAAATTATAATTCAAAATAAGGATTTTTAATTATCTGTAATACTTATATAATTATCTTAAACTTTAATATAATTATATACATTCAAAATAGACGAATGATCGTGTGAGAATGAGAGTTAAATTGAGAAACTTAAGAAGAGATCTTGGATCCTTTATCACCTTTAATCTCAAATCCACCCATGAATTGCATTTTATACGGGGATTAATCCGGTGCATCTCATCCTAATATGAATCTAAGGGTGAAGATCTCTTCTTACGCTTCTCGCCTTAACTCTTTTTCTCACCGGAACCCAACTATTTACAGATAATACGCTATAAGCCTATAATAATCATAATTACACTTTAACACATTTCATAATTATTTTCCAAAAAATAATTATTTATACAATCACCTTGATTTAACTTGGGTTTCTATAAATGGAGGCAAACACATCTTTTGTACACAACCTTATAGGTTTGTATATTTATCAGTTGTATTTACGCATGACACATGTCGTAGACATATAATAACTTACAAAAGTAAACTCTAAAATTGGTTTTTGGTTTTTGGTTTTTGATTTAGGTAAAAGACAAAATAGAAAAGGACAAAATTAGGCAAAAAGACGAAAATGTCCCTCACTTAACTGAGAATTTTTACAAATGACAAGTCAAAAGACCATTTTAAAAAACAAAATGCAAAACCGATAATAAACACTTTTGAGTGTTTGGATAAACAATTTATACCGATGTCAAATCGGTAATAAGAAGTTTTTGAAGATGTTAAACAATTTTAACTTATAATAAGTCGATAAAAACTTTTGTAGAAAATAGGAATGACAACGGGCCGGGTGTTGGTATCCCCGTCCCCAAAACCGATAGCTAAAACCGTCCCCGTAACTGCCCCGATCCCCGTTAAGGGTAAAATTTCTCTTTTTCACCGTTGGTTATAACCGAACCCGAAACTCGAACCCAATCTGAAAAAAATTAAAATATGTTAATTTTCACAATTAAAAGGAAATTACAATTTTTTTAAAGATGTAAGTTTAAATGTCTCAAACATAATCGAACAATTACAAACAATGTATTAGATTACAATATAAAACTAAACAGAAATTCAAACATCATATAACTAAAATCACGATTTTAAACAAATAAACTAGATTTTTTTGTGAGCTTTATTTGAGTTGTTGAAGTAAAGTAGATAAAAATCTTTTAAATTTTAATGTTATTATTTTCTTTTAATGATATTATATATATATATATATATATAGAGGGATGTTATTCTACACCCTTTACCATTCCTACACCCTATACAACCCTCATCTCAACCATTCAATTTTTAATCAATTAATTGTTTCATAATATAAAGTATTAATCATAATTAATAAATTCTATTCATATTCCATAAATATTCAAATCATAATAAATGAACTCCAATCATTTCTATAAATATCTCAATCAATTGGGTTGCAAAGGTTGTACAAATGCACAAGGTTGTAAAAGAAATATAAATATACCCTATATATATATATATATATACACACATATCAGATCCCCACCCCGTCCCCCATAAGATGTCCCCGAACTCGGTTCGAAAGTTTCGGTTTTCAATTTACACCAACGGTTTCGAATTTTTTTACCATTCCTGATAGAAAAGTATAAGTTATTTTAAATAACTAATCTCAAACACCCCTAACTTTAGAGACAATTTGGGTGTAAACCCAGAGGGACCAAAATTGTAATTTACTCGATATTGAATTGTAGTTTACTCCAAAATTTATATAGTAGTATATGAGAAAAGAGAAGGGCAGTCGATGATTCTGCCTGGACGATGCAGCAGTAGTTATTGGGGCTGTTCTATGTAGTTTAATTGGCAGAGTAATTTAAGCACTCAAATTTGGCACCTCCAGACAAATCCCTCATCACTCACCAAGAATCTATTAATGGCTTCTCTTCTCTTCCCTTCTCTCTAACGTAGAAATATTGAAAGCAAATATATTCCAAAGAGCCGTGCCGTATCACTCGTCATCTCTGCCTTTCTTTTCTTCTTTTCATTTGGTGATAGATAACCAAGGCAAGAGTGCTGAATGGGGGCGTCTTCAACCTTCGGATTAACCTGCTTTATTGACTTCCGTCTCTGGTACCATCTCTATCTCTATCTCTATCTCTATCTCGAGAATATTTCCAATTTCATGTGGGTTTATATGTATATCGAGTTGCGTATATGGATTCTCTTTTTTTTTTTTTTTTGGTTTTTTGTTTGAGGCTTTATATCGAACAGTATACGTGCATCTTCTTCTCAGCATTTAGTTTCTGATCATCGTAGTTGATAATGGAGAATAAAGTTTTTTTTTCCTTTCTTTCTTTCCATTCGATGCTTTTAGCTTTTCGTTACTTTACAAGTTACAACGATGGGTCGATGGCTATATGGTTTCCCTCGACGTGAGTTTACTTATATTATTTCAGTTTTGTCTTTATCTATGCAACTCGACATACATATTCTTCACTGTTTATCTTGATTTATATCTTCCGTTTCCTTTCTTTCTCTGAATTACTCTTCCTAGAGGTTGATTTATGTTCAATTCGTTTGCATCTGATAAGATGTTTCTCCCCAAATATCGTTTTATATGCCAAAAAATATGATCTTATACGCATTGGTTCTTCCTGTTAGCTTAAATTGAGCTAACATTTTTAGGTTTTATTGGTTGTTTCTCTTTGATTCTTTCAAAGTAACTGGTTTTAATCAGTCTGTGTACCCTTTTAATCAAGTTTTTTGATCTGGGTATTTCAGTTTTTTGATTCTTCGTTTTTTTTATTTAACCTAAAGAAGTATGATCTCTTACGAAATCTAAGTCAACGATCTTATCTCAAATTTTGGGTTTTCTTTTAATTCCTTGCACATAATCAAGTTTATGTACCCTGTTCGATGAATCGTTGGTGATTATTACCAATTTATTATTTGATCATGATATAGAGGATTTGACAGAAAGAAGGCAATCAAATCATGTCGAAAGGAAAGGAGAGGGTGACTGAAGAATCAGACGAACAGGATAAAGAAGACGATGGTGAAGATGTGACGAGTCATCAGAAAGGTATTGCTGTTTATGATTGTTCCAAAAATGGATATTGGGTCGATTTTGGGAGCCCACAATCAACAAAAGTCAACAGCCAGAAGAGCAAAAAAAGAAGTATTTTGTTATGCACCGACCATCAGGACTGGCTTGAACTTGGATCTTCCGGCAGTTCTTCCGGTGAATCGGAGAAACCCCAGGATGCAGATTACTCCACTTACATTCCTTCTCTCAGTTATGAGTTAGAGGGTTTGATCTTAGCTAGATTTCCCAGATCGGAATTCTGGAAAATATCATTTGTCAATAAGCGGTTTGCCGGCGTGGTGAAGTCCGGCGAAATTTTCAAAATCCGGCGAGAAATTGGGTTCAAGGAGCCATTAGTTTTCATGCTGGCGAGTGGGGAGAGTTGTTGGTGGGCGTTTGATCAAGGGTTCAGTTCTCGTAGAAGGCTTCCGGTTCTTCCATCTGATATGTGTTTCACTTCAGGAGATAAAGAATCTCTTTGTGCTGGAACTCATTTACTCGTTTCAGGAAGAGAGATTGAAGGTATCATGATTTGGAGATACGAATTATCGATGAATAAATGGTACAAAGGCCCTTCGATGATCAATCCGAGGTGCTTGTTTGCCTCTGCGACTTGTGGGACTTCCGCTTTTGTAGCGGGCGGGATCGCGGTGGTTGGAGGCGGAATGAGTGGGACCCAGGTCGTACATAATACTGTTGAGAGATACGACCCAGAAACCCGCTCGTGGACCCTGCTTCCGAGAATGAAGAAGCCGCGGAAGCTCTGCTCCGGGTGCTATATGGATAATCGGTTTTACGTGATCGGTGGAAGGAATGATGACGGTGAACTAACATGTGGAGAGTTTTTCGACCCGGAAAGAAACCAATGGACGGTAATTACGGGAATGTTAAAAGACAATCCTGTCCTTAGTTGTCACTCGCCTCCGTTAATTGCGGTGGTTAACAACGAGCTTTACTCGATTGAAGCTTCTTCGAATCAGTTGAAAGTTTACTTAAAGAACAGCAACAGTTGGAAGCAGTTGGGTTCAGTTCCGGTGCGAGCTGACTACAATCGAGGTTGGGGCGTGGCTTTCAAGTCGTTTGGTGACGAGTTACTCGTGATCGGTGCATCAACGGTCTCGAGCTCGATGGCTATATACACATGTAGGCCCGAACCGCAATCCGATGGCTTGCCTGAATGGAAGTTACTTGATAACGGCAAGATTCAACTCAGCCATTTTATCATGAATTGTTCTGTGATGGTAGCTTGAGAAGAGTTGTGTGATCAGTATCTAAATAAAAAGTACCAGTTGACTTTTAAAGTCAAACATGATTGTATTTTGGTACCCTTTTCTTTCCCTTTGTAACGGGGCTTCACGTTTTTAGTGTACACAACACAAGTGTTCTTTTTAAGAAGAATTTGATAGCCACCGAGATAAAAAATTTGATTTTCCAAAATCACACTTTTGTTAAGAGACAACATCTGAATAGTTAAAAGGTGAATCTTGTTTGACAAAAAAAAAAATCTGTCTTTTAATGGTTTTAAAACCTTCCGAATGATTTTGTATCTTGAACATCCTTTAACTATTCAACACCCTAATTTCATTGTAACAATTACCAAACAAATTATATTTCATTTTGCATTATATCATGAAAGTCTTTTGATTATTTTGCATCAAACCATTCAGCAAATGACAAACAGATTAAATGAAAACAAATCAGATTTTTATATATTTAATTTAACATTAATATTTAATAACGTGTATTCATATAATTGGTGGATGTGAATAGAACATGAAAATTGGGACAAATGGTTTTTATCTATAGCCACCCGGTTTCCCTAATGCCTGATGGTAATACTTTTTTTATTTATTTGAGCAAAATGTTGAATACTGACAATTTCAACCAGTCTTATACAAAACACGTGTCTGAGACCCACATGTGAGAAAGTATTTAAGAGTCAACTCGGTTACGAGGCTAATAAAACTGGTTCAAACACGTTTTCTGTGTGATTTTTACTGAGCTATACGTTTAAAGATGTTTTTTTAATTATTATTATATATAATATAAGTATGTCGTATTTTTTGTTTGTTAAGAAAATAAAGTCTTCTATATTTAAATAAAAAAAGGGAAACAAGGAAAATTGTATTTAAGTAGCTAAAGACTTTAATATTATTAATGAATGATAATTAATCTACTTTTATTCATAATCTATAAATTTGGAATAAAAAAATAAAACAATAATCCATGTTTAAATTTCACATATTTTTTTCGTTTATATAAAATATTTTAAATTAAATATGTTAAATACCACAATCGATCAACAATCGTCCATGATCAAATTTCACATATTTTCCAAAAATTTCTTTTGAGTGCTAAAGAGTGTCAAATATTCATATATAAACAAAATTGCAACATCATGTATAATTGTTTGATCAAACGCTTTTGGTTTCCCCTTTTTTATTTTTATCTAAAGTAACAAGACAAGTTAAAAAAAATAAAAATAAAGATACTATTTTTAAATCTAAAAAATATTAAATTTAATTATCTATAAATAATATATCTAATAATAAATATATAATACATTAACACACGGGCATGGGACGGGTTGGAGATCACGTAACCCTACTCCACGTCCTCATCCCCAATTTTCAGTTTTTGGGGATCCACGTCCCCATCCCCGGTTTTACGGGAAATCCTCGACCTTCGTCGAAACAAGTACATCGGATTCCCTAATGAGGCAGATCTCATTCCATGCCCAGAGCTAACCCTACAAGCTTTATTCATAAAATTTAATGAGGTGTTCGGTAAAAGGTATTAAATGATAATTAATGTGAATTAGGAAAAAAAATCTGTTTGATTTTATATAATATAATGAGTCATTTTTATAAGAAATCACAAATTTTCATTCCAAATTAAACTGTAGAAATAAAAATTCAATTACCATTTTCATTTTTTGTGATTTTTATTTTCATTCCCTTTTTTATTGATCTGTCCCAAACAAAAACCCCTAAATTTAATTTAAAGTTTTTTGAAAATAATTATATTTTTACTATATTTTATTGAATTTCGTTACAAATTAAACGTATTCTTTATGAAAATAATGAGCAAAAACATCATAAATTGAATATATAGAGAGAGATGCTCGTTTAAAAAAAAATGGTTAGTTTATAGTAATTATAAAATCCAATGTGAATCACTTGTTTGAAATATTTAAGGTTATTTTTTAAATAAGCTAAAATAGTAATATGGCAATTCTATTTTTAACAACTAATCAAAATATTTAATTAAAACTAGTTACTTAGGGCTTGTTTGTTTTTTGCAAAAAACCACTTATTACCTCTTAAGTCTGAATCGGTCAGACATTTTTATTTTCAGACTGTTTGATTTTTTTTGTAAATAAGAGCTGAAAAGCTCTTACCGTCCTCTGAAATATTCAGTGCAAAACCGAACTCTGAAATCAATTTCACTCTTCTCCTCCAGATCTCGCTCTCACTCTTGATTTCATTCTCGATCTATCAATTCTCTGTAGATCTCGCTTTCAGCTCTCAATTTCACTCTCGATCTTAAACACTTCAAGCTCTGGGTCTCGATCTCTTATTCTTCCTCTCGTTCCAAACAGCTCTCGATCTCTTCTTCCGCCTCTCGATCCAAGCAGCTCCTGGTCTCTTCTTCTGCCTCCTGGTATCTCAAGAAAGGTAATAGGTCTTATGTTTATATGTTTTCTTTTTATTTGATTTGGCATAAGAAACGCCATGGAAATACCTGAGGATYGATTTGGGTTTTCTAAAATAGTTGACTGTTTATTTGTTTTCTTGATTTGGGTAGATCTGTTTATTTGGTCTTTCTTGATTTGATTGCATTTGGTGAATTCCCTTTTTGAATTATTGCCCAGATGTTTCTTGCATTAGTTGTTTTCACTATAGTTTGCAATGAAACATACATGTTCCGATGTTTATCCTTGTACTATTACAAAGTGTTCTTTATACTATCTTATTGATGATTTATTGTTGTTAGGGTTTTTGTGAGGTTTACTTGTATTTGTGTTTGGGCCCAATTTGTACTCATGATGGTTCATTAGATCTTAACTGATTTCACTCTTCACCTATTTGTGGCCCGTGTTCTTCTCTCCTTGTTTCTTATCTCTTTCTCTACACACAATGGGATAAACTTTCTATCTCATTCTTTTCATGTTATCGTGAAAAGATAGCAAGTGAAGCTAGTGGCACTGATGGAAAGTGAAAGCGTGTCATCTGTATGAATAGGAGCATATGGTGGCTTTCAAATATTGTGATATGAAGTTTGCTACACCTCAGGAAGGGAGTAGAGATAAATACATGGGATCTTGCGATGCATAAGAAAATCTGGACAACAAAATCAATAAGTTCATTTTGTTTTCCATGCACATTTTTACGTTGTGAAGGCAAATGCTTCATCAATTTGTTTACCATGTGATTTTTTTTCTTTATCTATCTTGCAGCCTCCTAAAACAGCCTTGCTATATTTACACCTACTTGGTTTACTTCAGCCACATTTTTAAGCAAAGATGATCACCACAAGTTTGTGGCAGGTACCAACAGCCATCAGGTCATTTACCAAAACTGTATGACCTTCAGCTATTCTGGCAATGGAAGGTTGTCAAGGATTGGGGATTGTATCTCGATCCTCTCATGAACTATCACCATATGTGCCTTGGTTTTTGTTGGTTTGGTTGTACTTTATGGGAGGAAAAAGGCATAAGCTTGGCAACTTTGTGTGATGGATCAAAAAATGTGGATGTAATCATCTTTATTGGTGGATGGAATCAATTTATTGGGCTTATTTTAATGAAAAATGAAAAATGGTGGAATGGAGATAGGAGATTCTGGATGGTTAAAGTTTTTGATAGAATTATAGGGGATTCTGGATGGTTAAAGTTTTTGTTTTGTTGTATCCGTACAACATTGAAGTTGTTTTCTTTCTGATGATGATGTTTTGATATTTAAATTCCATTTGTTAATATTTACAATTCTTAACAGTAGATGTATTTTTTCCTTTATTTAATTTAAACCGTCAATGGTAAGTTTTTAATCTTTATCTAGATATAGATGACAGATTGCATCCCGCTACATTGCACGGGTACACAACTAGTATGTGTGTGTGTGTGTATATATATATATATATATGTCAACGTTCTTAATTTCTTATGGTGTATTCTTTTTATGGGTTGTCGTCTTAATTGATCATTAAACATGGGATCAACAAGTACTAAGGTTTCTTTCATCATTTGACTGATTCAGATTCAGACTTCAGATTTAAAAACAAACAGTCTGACTGATTCAGATTTCAGAATTCAGACGTAAAAACAAACAATCTGACTGATTCAGATTTCAGACTTCAGCACCATCTCTTAAAATTCAGAAGTGAATTCAGACTTCAGCACCTCTTAAAAAACAAACGCCACCTTAGTATCAATTACCTTATATAAATCGTATTTTAAAAACATTTGTAAATCAAAATGTATCATAATGATAACGTTCACAATATTTCACGTGTATCACAATGTATTTTCTTTGTTTTATGAAATGTATCATAGTATGCATTTTCGTTATTTCATTGCTTTACAAAAGGTTCACATTGTGCATATTGTATGCATATATGGGTATCACAATGAATATCGTTTGTAGGTATCACAAGGTGTATTTTGTGTTCACATAAGGTTCATCAGAATAAGGTTCGCCGAATAGAAGAAAAGATTCGCTGGAGAGATGAAAGAAGAGAGATGAGAGGGAATATTTATAAAATCTCTAAAATGCACTTAATTAATATTTTAAGTTAAAATTACCAAAATTATTAGTTTTCGAATTTAGCCTTTGATTTGTGGTTGAGATTGAATCTCACGATTACCACAAACAAAACAGTTCTCATTTGATGTAGGCCTGCGCACGCGCGCGCACACACACACACATATAATAAAACATTTGATAAAAACTCTTAAAAACAATTTTTTATGTATATAATACTGTTTATTGATGCATATTATTTAAAATTCAAGATTACAAGTATAACACGTGTGAATACATCTTATTAAAGTTTCATATTTAGATCGTCTAACTAACTGCACACAAACATAATCAAATATAAAAATATAAAATATAATTAAGATAATCATTGAGTTATAACAGAATACTTAATCAACATCTTAAAAAAATTATTATATTAAACAAAAAATAAACTAGTTCGTTTCAATAAATTATAATAAAAATTAAATGAAACAAATTACACAAAAACAATAACTTTTAAATAGTTAATTTTTTATTAATATCGATTATTTTTTTCAAAATTTTATAATATCTTCAAATTTAGATTTCATTAAAAAATAAATACATTTTATTTTTTCTCAAAACCACATAAAATTGCATTATAACATTGATAAACTCAAAAATATAAAATGAAACATTAAAATTAAGATGTATCTCACTATATTATGCGAGTATATATATATATATATATATATATATATATCACAAGATTATAATATTTTATATTCTTTTTGGGTCTGGTTTTTATTATTTATAAAATATAGTTTTATTTTATATTTTTGGAAGCATGTTATATGCATATTGTAAAAAAAAAATATGGCTGGAGAAATAGACGATCGGAAAGAATGGCCGTGGCCTCTCCAACCAGTAGTCTCTAGAAACCGGACCGGGACCGGCCCGGCCCTATACCACTCTCGGGACTCGGATTATATGCAACAGATGAACCGAAAAGGCCGTTCTCTCTCGAAGGCGAAATCTGCTGTTATAGTAGCTTCGAAGGGCTACGATCCCTCATCCGTAAGGCGATTCGCAGATCTTTGATGCCTATTTCACATGGTTTGAATTCTGCATAATTTCGTTTAGGATTTACGTTTCTGTTTTATAATCAATTGTCGTCAACAATGATATCTTGTTTAGGTATAGTTTGGAATTTCAAATTTGTGGTGTGTTTGTTTTAATTAACTTTTAATCGATTTCTGGTGAAAATTAACCTAATTTTGGAAATTTTAGGGCATCGACGATTCGAGTATTTGTTTGCATTCTGAAAGTTTGTGTTTTGGCCTGTAATTTAGGTTTTTCATATGCAAATTGAGCCAGCATTGTAAGGATTAGGGTTACAGTTTTTATGAAGTGATGTCTGTGAACAACAGTAATCTCCAAAAGAACTCTGGTGTATCTTCCCCCTTTGGAAATATCATACCACCAAATCCTAATCCCCATCTCCAGTCACAGTCCCAACCTCAACAACCGTCTGGATCTCCCTTTACGAGCCAGTTTCAGCTCTCCCATTTTGCTGCAGCCCATGCCCATGCCCAAGCCATTGCTCAAGCCCAGTCAAAAGCTCAAGCCAAAGCTGCAGCTCAAGCTCAAGCTAACCATGCTCAATTCCAAGCCCAGCTGCAAGCTCAAGGACTTGCTATTAATCAATCCCATGGACCTCTGGCTACTAATTCACCATCCTTTCCGGGATCTGGCAATGTGAGCACCAAACCTATGCCGCAGAAGTTGCTTGGGCGGCCACCTGGAGTGTCAAATTCTAATGCCTATTCTCCCATGAGGATGATGGAGCTTACACCAGCTGGCCGTAAAAAGAAGCAGAAGCTTCCAGATAAGCAGTTACAAGATCGAGTGGCTGCAATTCTGCCACAATCTGCTTTATACACGCAGCTCCTTGAGTTTGAGTCGCGAGTTGATGCTGCTTTGGTGAGAAAGAGGATAGACATTCAAGAAGCTACTAAAAACCCACCTTGCATTCAGAAAACCCTTCGAATATATATTTTCAACACATTTGCTAATCAGGTTCTTACAATTCCCAAGAAGCCGAATCCTGAGCCGCCTACTTGGACAATGAAAATAATAGGGAGAATATTGGAAGAGGGAATGGATCCTGATCAGGCTGGGATGATCTCAAAACCAAACCCCATGTACCCAAAGTTTTCATCTTTCTTCAAAAGAGTTACTATTTCATTGGACCAAAGACTCTATCCTGATAACCATATGATTGTGTGGGATAGTTCTAGAACACCAACACCTCAGGAAGGGTTTGAAGTCAAAAGGAAAGGGGATAAGGAATTCTCTGTGAATATACGGTTGGAAATGAATTATATGCCTGAGAAGTATAAGCTTTCTTCTGCTCTAATCGAAGTTCTTGGAGTTGAAGTTGATACCCGGGCAAGAATTATTTCTGCAATCTGGCAATATATCAAGGCTAGGAAATTGCAGGATACAAACGATCCTTCCTATTTTCATTGTGATCCACCACTTCTGAAAGTATTTGGGGAAGAAAAAATGAAATTTTCAATGGTCTCGCAGAGGATTTCAAGCCATTTATCTCCACCACAACCTATACATTTGGAGCATAGGATCAAGCTTGTGGGAAACAGTCCAACTGGAAATGCATGTTATGATGTATTGGTGGATGTGCCGTTTCCAGTACAAAAGGAATTGAATGCTTTATTGGCAAACACTGAGAAAACCAAGGAGATTGAAACCTGTGATGAAGCAATATGTGCAACAATACGAAAGATAAACGAGCATAAAAAAAGGCGGGCGTTCTTTCTTGGATTCAGCGAGTCACCTGTTGAGTTTATTGATGCTCTGATTGAATCTCAAGGCAGAGATCTGAAGTTTCTTGCAGGGGAAGCAAGCCGTAGTGCGGAAAAAGAGCACCGTGCTGATTTCTATAACCAACCCTGGTAATCTTTCACCATCCTTGTTTCCTTGTTATACTCTGTGTCACAATGAAAAACTGGTGCACCTATTTTATACATTTTCATTGTGAGATAGACGTGTTTATACTTCCCAAGCTTTCTTTAGTGCCTCTTTAAATTATTAGTTACAGGTTCATCCTGAGTTCCTGTTTACTTGCATCCCAGCTAGATCCTTAGTTTATATGTTATAATTCAACGTTTAGGGAACTAAAATTGACTCCGTTTATGAGTACCAACTTCATCTCTCTTTTTAGATTGGGCAAAATGCATCAAAATGCATCAAAATGCAACAAAGTTTGGTTTAGTTACTATCTAGCGTAACAAAGTTTCAAAGTTTTCTATTTTGTACCCATTTTAACCGATAACCTGCTGATCTTATAACATTTGCTGACATGGACGGTCCTTTATGAAAGGGTTACAACAAACTGGACGTTAAACTTGACATCCATGTCATCAAATGTTACAAGATCAGTGGGTTACGCGTCAAAATGGGTAAAAATTAAAAAAAATGGAGTTCTGTTACATTGATCAATAAAAAATTTCTTTGTTACACACACTAAATAGGAACTAAGGCAAGTTCCGTTGCATTTTGATACATTTTGCCCTTTAGATTTCAACCACGGTCCTAGTGTAGTAGTCCAGAACTGCGTTTATGCTTTATCTTTCTACTAAAGTGTGCTGTATTTAATGTTATATCTAGTGTGTTTATTCTCTCGTCTGTGACTTGCTCTTTTTTTGATCTTTTTGTTTTATAAGCTGGGGTTTTCACGGTCAGCCTCGTAATCCCGTTGGGATAGAGGAAAGATAGAGAAAATGTTTGCATACGTCCTATCCCAAAACCCTGCCTGCTTGGGAGGGATCTAGTGTTTGGTCCGGTTCGAGTAACTCCTCAACCTGGAGTTCCACCTGAAGAAGCAGGGGCCACAGTAGCTTCCGTTCAGTTATCTAGTGTCTATTGTTACCACTATGATGGGTCTACATACCAAAGGGTCATTGGCCCAATAGAACCCTGGTTATTGGTAAAACTCAATCTCCCAGGAGGCCGAGGGTTCAAACCTCACCAAATGTGAGGTGTGTGCGAGTATGATGAAGGATCTTGTGAGAATAGGAGTTAAGGTGAGAAGTGTAAAAGGGATTTGGACCCTTGATCAGTTTTAATTAGTGTTGATCTAATGGTTCAGATCAAGTCCCAAAATAACCCATGAATTAGCTTAGAAGGGTATTTCCAATTGATCTTCGATTAGGATTGATCCAAGGGTGTAGACCTCTTCTTTCCCTTCTCACGATAACCACTATTCTTACCAGAAATCAACTTGCGCTAGTATTTGCCATATATAAATATTATATACTTCAAAGAAAATGATGGGCGTAGATGTGACCTTGGCTAGCTCCATATCTTATGCAATTATGTTTCGTAAATCTGTAGGGTTGAAGATGCAGTCATCCGTTATCTAAATCGCAAACCAGCTATAAACTCCCATGGAAGGACATATTAGTGTGGAGATCTGCTGATGGAATACAGATAAGTGTCTATCGATGCGCCTATGAACAACTTTTTGTATCAACGGGAATTAAAAGCGAGAGGTGCAGTTGCATATTTCCTAAGTTGAACCTCTATATTTCATTTTACATCTGGTTTTCTAGCTTAGAATGCACTGTAGTTTCCCTGTCACCATATGAAATTCTTTGAACCTAAATATACTTTTTTGCTACCTAGATCTTCATATTTGTCTTGTTCAAAATTTCAGATTTTAGCAAGAGATATTTAGGTATATAACCTTAAATGAAATTTTAAATTAAATTTCATTAGTTTCTATGGAGTGAGTATGAACCCCGTTTTCTTTTAATAGATCAGGAGGTCATAAGTTTAATTCACATCTCATTTAGGGTGATATACCTAAACAAAAATAGCACAAAAAAGCCCAATCCCGAAGCCTGGGCTTGGTGAGATCAAAGCCAGGTCCGAGCCAGGCCTCAAAGCCCGACCATGCCAACATTTTGGGGTCAGGTCCATGCGCTGGTCTGGCCCAAAAAGGACCAACTTGAAAAAGCCTGAAAAAGCCCAGTTAAGCCCGAAATTGCCTAAAATTTCAACCCCAAAGCTTGGCCCGAGGCTGCCCCTGCCTAAATAAGCCTGAGTTTTTCTCACTGAAAGCAGGTTCGGAAGGTGCGGGTCCAGACACGAAAATGCTCAGGCCTTGTGCATCTCTGTACCTAAATTACTGTTATCAGCAATGGGAACCTTATGTCGGAATATTCATTTTGGTATTTTGTTTACCTTACGTCGGTATATTCATTTTGGTATCGCAAACCATCTCAAGATATCTGGTTTACATCTGATAATGCATGCATTCTTTATTATGAACTTTGATGTAGATATTTGAGATGTCGTATCTGTGGTACCAAAATTCGAAAGCATATTAAAAAAAAATAACACCAAAGTATGTGGTGTTTTTGTGCAATTTGCAATATGTAATTATATATATAGAGAGAGAGGGAGACGGGTTTAAACGAGAACGATACCTATTTAAGAGAATAAGAGAATGGTCGAATCATATGTGATTTTACACTAGCATCATGTACAAAATCACATTTTGATTCATGCAACTTTGCCCCGTGAACTAAAGACCCAACCATAGGGTTACCACACACTTTTTTGGCCGTTAATGTAAAATCTCATGTGATTTTGCACGTGCTGATATTTTCTTAAATAGTTGACATTCTCGTTTGATCATCCTGTATATACATACACATATCAGATTAAAAATAAGTGACTTGTTTTATTTTTAATTTTACAAATAGCATAATATAATTAAACTAAGGAGTAAATTACACAATTGTCTACATGGTTTACAAAAACTCTAGTTTTCCTTGCATGACTTCCTTCTATAATTTGCATTTTGTTAGGGATGTCATCCCTGGCCTTGCCTTAATGGGTGTTAAGTGCCCTCAGGTGAGTGTATGAGATACCAACTTTGCAATGTTTTTAATTAAGCAACCAACTCTCTCTAAACCTAACCCATCAATCAACAAGACTTGAACTGTTAATTTTTTTTTATTAACCTGGATATCCAATCCGTTATACGAGTCAACTAATCTCAGGGCAACCACCTGTTTTGCAGGTAGCCCGGAGTCACCGCATTTGAACCTCCGTGGTCACAAGGGGATTTTTGTTCCTCCTTGGATTTGAACCTCTGATCTCCTGACACTTTTGATATTTGGAGCCAAGCTCAAACCAATCAGACACCTCCCTTGTGGTTGAACTCTATTTTCTCTTCATTCAAAAACACTCTTACCATTGCTCTTTACATTTGCTTTGTTTCATTTAGCCAAAAATGTGACATATACCGAATCAAAACAGTGACATTTTTAAAGGTCGTATTTTTTCCATTATGTCGGGACAATAAGGTGGTAGCATGAGACATCGTATGCTACTAGTGTACTATAACCACAAGGATGGTATCTGATTGGTTTAAGTTCAAAAGTACCTGGAGGTTCTAGGTTCAAATCCAAAGAGGAATAAAAATCCCCTTGTGGCTACGGAGGTTCAACTATGCCGATTTCGGACTACCCGCAAATCTGGTGGTCGCTCTGAGATTAGTCGGTTCGCATAGCAGGTTGGATATCCAGGTTAATAAAAAAAAATGATATATACCACTTCAATCCATAAAAAATATAATCCGTTGTGCTACACCTCTGCTCTTGTAGATGATGATATGCTCCTCTTGCTTTATAAAACACGAGCTTGACACCACCAGGCCATGCACAATTGTGAAATCCGATAGAGCATGACCTCTTTCGTTGATTACATCAAAGGCAAAACTCCTGTCTGTTTCGATAAAACCTCCCAACAAATCATCAAAGATAATTCCAAAAGTTATTTTCTGACTCCCTTGAACTTGTCTATTTGCACAAGTACATAACAAATTTGACATTTGTGTCGATGTTAAAAAAGAACTTTAAGGAGCTGTTTACCTAAATGCTTACCCGGTAAGTGCTTATTGATATGAGTCAACAATGTAATTTATTTTGATGCGTAAGATTTTAGTATATCTAAACGTACTGAATGCAACAATTTACCTGGTAAGCGCTTACCTGGGTAAGAGTCGTCATCTTCACTTACCCAGTAAGACTCTTCATCCTTCTCATCACTCTTATCCGTTAAGATTATTGGCCTTTGTCATGTTCATCCGATGAAGAAATTTATCCGGTAAACATTTACCAAGTAAGCGTTTAGTAAATGACCTCTAATTAATTTCTTTAAAATAGAGAAAGGTTGAAAGAACAAAAAAATTTGTAGTTGGTAGAAATCTAAGGGGGTGTTTGGTTCGCATAATGATTTCTGAAGGAATGAAATCTGTCAATGGAAATGGAATATGGAAGGAATTGAAATGAAATGTTATCAGGTTTGACCAAATGTTTGGTTGACAAGAATGGAATGTAATTTATCCAACAATGAAATGTTAATTGTTTTTTTAGTCATTTATGAGGGGATAGAACAAAAAAATATAATTTCATAAGAAATTTAATTTTTTATTAAAATATAAAATGTTTTAAAAAATGCATTTGATTGAATGAAATTATTTTGAAAGATTTGGATTTTATGGAAGAATTTGGAGTCAAAAGAGTTTGGATTTGAAATGACTTTGAATATTTGGTGTGATTAATGTGGAATGAAATTGAATTATGTTTTTTTATAAAAACAAATTATAAAATGATTAAATTATATTTTTATTAGTTGATTATTATAAAGAAATATTTTTTATATATTTTAATCTATATTATATTATAAGACATTTGATAAAAACTTTTAAAAATTATATTTTTATGCATTAAGTACTGTTTATTGATGAATATTACTTAAAATTGAAGATTACAAGTAACTTATGCATAAGTACAATTGATTAAAACTCCATGTCTGAATTTCTATAATTAACTATAGATAAACACAATCAAATAGAGGATAAACATCTTATTTTAAATATAAAAAATCTAAAATATAATTAAGATAATTATTGAGTTATAACAAAATACTTAATTATTATGTTTTATAAAAAATTATATTATTAAATCCCAAAAAGAATGAATTACAAAAATTACACAAAAAAGGAGAAATTTTAATTTGCTTGATACTAATATCAATATATATATATATATACCTTTCAAAATTTTATTATATCTTCATATTTATATTTCATTTAAAAATAAAAACATTATCGTTTTTTCAAAAACACATAAAATTGGGACGGACCCAAAAAAAAATTCAAACGGTGGCACCATTTGACTATTAGAAAAAATTATAAGGAAAAAATTTCAAACAATGACACCGGTTGACTATAAGAAACAAATATACAAAAAAAATTTCAATCCATGGCACTATTTGACTAAGAAAATGACACTAATAAGATTTGAATTTGGGTCTGGAGTGGAATAAAAGCCTTGCAAACCAACTCTATCAAATAAAACTTGTTCTCATTGTAGTTTTAAAATACATACGGTGGCACACAACAGATTAATACGGTTGCACATTTTACGAACCTAAATTTTTTTATCGGAGAAATAATATTGTGGCACGTGCCACCGTAACCGCCATGGTATGTCCGCTCATGACATAAAACCGTATTATAACATCGATTAAAAAAAAAAAACAAAACATTAAAATCAAAACGTATCTCATTGTATTACGTGAATATTCTGATCAAATCCTAAAATTTCAAATCCAATTTAAATCTTACCATTAAATTGAATTCCAAATCTTTTCGAAACCAAACTAATTATTTTAATATTGTTTAGAAAGTACTAGTTTTTTTTTGTTGAGATTTTGTGCTTTGGCATTGCCGGAGATGCTTCAAGCGGCAGGGACAACCGTGGGTTTATAGCCTTCAGGAATCAGAAAATGGCGGGAAAATAGACCGCCTCCTCGGAAAACAAAGGAGAAGAAGAAAGAAAAATGGAGACAGAACCAAAACCATCGTCGTCGGAAGCGTCGGTCTGCTGGAGAAAAGAATTGGATACTAACCTCAAGAGGCTCCAATCTCTTCTATTCGGCGCCGACATCGCTATCCAGAAGCGAGATTACAGTTATGCTCAATTACTCTCCCTTCGTCTCATTGGTTTCCTCGATTCTCGGTCCATCAACGACGTAGATGAAGCCTTCATTCGTCCTATTCGCCGTGAAGCCCTCTCTAAACTCGATTCCGCTACTCAATCACTCATTCCTGAATCCGATCGGTACTTATATCTAACATCTCTACACGAAATTATGAAGTTGTTTTATTAAGATGTATCAATTGAATTTGCTTCTACTGATGAAATGCAAATTTTGGTTATCTGATTATCTGTAGCGTTCGTCTTGATTATGTATGTTGATATAATCCTGTTACGCAATGTTGCCTTCCTTGAGAAATATATTTCAAGGTTTCAGTTCCCGTTGAAATTCGAGCAATGTTTCCTTTCTAATTGTGTTTGTTTTTGTGTCCTTGATTTTTAGTTTCTTATTCTTAAGGGAGTACAAGGTTTAAGCTATGGAATCGAAGCAGGTGTAGTTTGAAATTTTAAATTACGCTAAAAATCCTAGTTTAAGTCCTTCAAGAAGGGCGAAATATCAGTTGTGATTTGTGGAAGGGTTGTTAATGTTAGAAAGAAATCTATCGCGGATTTATTAATGTTTTAGATTAGTTCCACTTGATTGAACCTACTGTTATGGTTTATCAAATCTTTTTTAGTCGTTGATAATTATCCATAGTTTCTGCACCATCTTACTGCAGTCAAGCTTTTGAGCAAGCTGGTAGAGATCCAGGGTTTGTTTTTCAGAAGCAAGGGGATATCAAAATTGAGAAAATTAAGCAATCAAAATATTTCAAAGCTCTTCTCCAACAGGCTAAAGGAAATACTCTAAATGAGGTACCAGATGGCGGTGGATGCTTAACTGTATGGTATTCTTAGTTGTTTTTTTTCACGTACTCTAAAGCTGTTATAAACATTTTTATGGTGGAATCAACTCATTTTTGTATTGATGTGAAGATTGTAACCAAAAGTTTTAATATAGGGTATGGACGAGTATATTTGTTAGATTGCAATACCATAAGATGTTCTTTTAATTCCATTACTGAGGATGACAATTCATGTTAGGATGATGAACCCGAAAAGCTGGAAGATATCAGTGCGAAGACTTCAAAAGTTCTTTTACATGGAAAATCAACAACCTTGAATGGAAGCATCTCAAGGGCAAATAACAATATGCACAATAATTCTGTCAACTCAAGAGGAAATGGTTCAGAGGATTGTATCCTTGTCCAGGGCCATGGTTCGTTTACATGTATTAATGTTGATGAAGAAAGAACACATGGAAGTAGCTTGAGATCTAAGCGAGCTCACATGGAAATCAGTAGCCCAAGGAATGAAACAGTCTTGTCTCCATCAAGCAAGAGTGAGGCTAATGCTGGTATTTCTGGCAACAGTTTTGTTACTGCTAGAACAAAATTGGTAACAATCTTGAATGCTGAAATACCTTCTTATAAGCTTCTAGTTATCATCTTTAAACGAGGACTAATCTATTTCTTAACATGTTTATTTATTTCAATATTGAGAATTGGTTTGGTAACTTATTAACCTCTTGAGTATTTACTTGCCTTGTTTTTTTTATCTGAAATTGCAAATGTCTTTCGGAAAGCAGGTCATAATTTTCCATTTAGATGATATCTCTATATTTGTCTTTGACCAATGTTTATGATGTATCTTCTCTATACCACAGGAAATGGATGTTCGACAAAAGAGAGGGTTGGATGGATCACCAAATTCCTCGGTCTCCCCGCAGAGCGATGGAACTAACAGAGGCTATGGTGTCAGATCCTATGGCTCACGCCGTGGAATACGTGGTTTTGTTCCCCCTATTAGATCCAACTCGGGTAATAACGGCAATGTAACATCACGTGCAGCAAAGGGTGAAGATGCATTAGACGATTCGACAAAAAGATGGTAAGTTCAGTACTCGTTTGCAATATCAGAAAGCAGTTTTAAAACATTTTTTGCTCATTATAACTTCCGGTAAATCTTAAATGAGCTTTGGCGATTCTTCTCTAAGCATAGTTCATTATATGATTACAGCATGGATATGCTTTGTGGCCCTGATGGTGAACTTCCAGAGAAGTTGCGGAACTTGGAGCCTCGCCTTATTGAGCACATTAGTAATGAGATAATGGACCGTGATCCTAATGTTCGCTGGGATGATATTGGTATTAGTGATGTTTGCAGTATTTTCCTGCTCCATAACCTTTTAGTTAGCTTTAATAAGATTCTAATATGTTTGTCTGCTTACAGCTGGGTTGCATCATGCAAAAAAATGTGTAACTGAGATGGTCATATGGCCTTTATTACGTCCTGATATTTTTAAAGGTTGCCGTTCTCCAGGTCGAGGGCTTCTTCTGTTTGGTCCCCCAGTAAGTGCAATATATGTTAGTTTATCGTTACAAAAGTCACTCGTTTGATTTGATTGCATCTCATTCTTGGTTTAGGGAACAGGTAAAACGATGATAGGTAAAGCTATCGCTGGAGAGGCTAAAGCAACATTTTTTTACATATCTGCCAGTTCACTAACCAGCAAATGGGTACGTACTGATTCTTTAGGCAAATGATTGTAAAATTACACATTAATGCTGTCTTTATATGCACCAAAAGTTACATTTATTTGAATTATGAAGCTATGTTTTAATCCCACTAAATTTGGATATCTGGGAAAACGTAACTCCAATCTTATTGCTAGAGTGACCTTGCTGCACAAAAGCTGCTCAGCTTTGCAAGGGTTTGGGAGGAAAGCCTTTGCATGCACCATTCTTGTTGTTTTTTGCAAGGAAGGCCATTCCCTTAAAGTAATAGCCTTAAAGCTCACCACCATGCACCACAACCCATATGAAAAACTCTCCACCGACTGTTCTTTTATATGTTCTATTGGTTATATTCAAGTAAAAAAGTTATCTTGATTGTAGATCGGAGAGGGTGAAAAGCTAGTGAGGGCACTTTTTGGAGTTGCCAGTTGCCGCCAACCAGCAGTGATATTTGTGGATGAAATTGATTCACTGCTGTCCCAGGTATGCCAGATTCTGATCCATGAACAAAGAAACTGAATGTGATGAGGCATGAACTTATCCAATAACTTCTATGTTTTGATTGAAAAATTCTACACCATATCACACCCTTTTGCATCTTAATGATCGTTTTGTATATTCCATTTTTCTTGATTGTGTGAAAGACAACTACTAAGGACGTATATTATTGCAGCGCAAGTCAGATGGTGAGCATGAGTCAAGCAGGCGACTGAAGACACAGTTTCTCATTGAAATGGAAGGATTTGACAGTGGAAGTGAACAAATTCTACTCATAGGTGACCTGCAGAACCTAAAATATTATGAACTCTATCCATCTTATAACTTTCCAGACACTTTCAGTCCTTCCGTAGTGCAACTTGCAAAGCCAATAATCTAAACTCGAGCATTTAACAGAATGTAGCACGGCATTTTCTTGTTCTAGGCTGCAATTTGGGAACCAAAACTCAAGTATATAAATGTTGCAAACCACAGGCAAGAAATTTTCTTACAAAATGTCAACCAACTCTATGTTGCGCATAGCCGTTGGCTGAGATGGCTCATACCTGTTGACTGATAAGCTAGTTGATAGTTGTTGGCTAATAAGCATGTAGTTAGCAGATAAGCTAGCTGCAAGTGTTTGATAATACCTATTTAGAAGACCTTGCAAGTTACAATTTTCCTACTGATGAACTTGATGGCAAATTCAGTTCTTTATATTCACGTCATTTTTCGTGAATAATTCAACTTCTAATGTTCTATCTTTCTATTTGATTTACTGTCGTTTGCTTTCTGATATGTCAGGAGCAACAAATAGACCACAAGAACTAGATGAGGCAGCTAGGAGGCGACTTACCAAGCGACTTTATATTCCACTCCCTTCCGCAGGTGCAACTTTGATTAATTTACTTCTCCAAGATACAAGTTTGTTGTCCCCAAATCCCTGGTCCCCACCCTGTCCCACAAAGCACTTGAATACACATTATTATTTTATTAAATCCATCTTCTTATTCTCTCTCCTCAACAAAATGATGAGGTGGCTCCACATGATTGGTGGATAGAAAGGGGACATGGGATTTGGGGACCACATACATGCAATTCCTTATGGTACTAATATGAGGCTAATCATCTCTTCGGGTGTAAAGAAGCGAGAGCCTGGATAGTACGTAATCTCTTGGAGAAGGATGGACTTTTCAAACTGTCTACAGAGGATATTGATAGCATATGCAAATTGACCGAAGGTATTTTAAATTCTCTCTTTTCTTAATTTTCTTTGTAGATTATGCGAAACGTGTTTCTTTTTCCTCACTTTGATGTATTGCTATTGCTGGTTTGAGTTGTATCAGGGTATTCAGGATCTGACATGAAGAATTTAGTGAAAGATGCTTCCATGGGTCCATTGAGAGAGGCTTTGAGACAAGGCACCGAAATCACTAAACTTAAAAAGGAGGATATGAGACCAGTTACTCTACAGGTACTTGCATCATATAATACCTTTGAAATCAAATGGGTTACCTCTAAACTCAATCAACCCTTATATCTACCATTATAATTTGAAAAATATTGGTGATAGTTTATTAACAAAATCCATGTCACCTGAGTGAAAGGTTTATTTGTTTACTTTCAGTAAGTTCAATGATTTATTTGTTCAAGAAAAAAAATTAGGGACTTGTATCACTCGGAATGTGATAGTACGTTGCGTTTTTTTGGACTTTTTCCTTTATTTAACTAAAGGGTCAGGTTTAACCTTAAAAAGGTCAAAAAGTAAGTTCTGCGATTTTAATAAAGATAAAAGGATGAAAATTATATAAATTTGTAGAGAGAATGCTTTAAAAAAGTAATGTTTGTTGTTCCATGTTTATAGGACTTTGAGAATGCACTACAAGAGGTGAGGCCTTCTGTTTCCGTGAATGAACTTGGCACATATGAAGACTGGAACAATCAATTTGGGAGCTTATCAGTATCAACTGATCTGATTGATACTTACATACCTCCTCATTAACTTCAATCACATTCTATGTAGAATCCAGCGACTCCAACTCAGTCAGCTTGTGGTATGAAAGCCCCTTCCCTCAACTGTTTCAAAACTTTAAATATATAATGTGCTTTGCTGTATTAGTTTCAAAGACGAGGGATCGTGTGAGAGTAGGATTTAAGGTGAGGAGCAATAAGAAGGGATCTAAACCGTTGATCACTTTTAATCTCACCCCCACCCTTGAATTGTGCTTATCATGGGAATTGATCCAGTGCATTCCGTTGCACCGCATTAGTGTTGACCTTCAATTAGGATTGTTCCAAGGGTGAAGATCTCTTCTTATCCTTCTCATCATAACTTCCATTATCACCTCAACCCAACCTTGGTTCAAAATGATTAATGATTATTATTTTTACTCTACAATCACACAACTCTTATTAATTCTTGAATACATGGATGATTTAAGGGCCGCTTAGCAAACACTAACTAGGTAAGCACTTACCTTACTGGGTGAGTATGACAATGGCCGAGAATCTTCCCTGATAAGAGGCATGGCAAGATTCGATAATTTTACCCTGTAAATGAGGGGTGGTGACTCTTACCGGGTAAAACACACTTCCCTCAAATCTTACCATGCAATGTCATGTTGATGGCTTAGAATCTTATTTGGTAATATAAGTGTAGGTGGTCGACTTTTACCGGATAACCATTGGTAAACGGCGCCTAAGAATATAAATTTAGCCCTCCTTAAGAAGTGAGTCCTGTATCGTGGACACACAAAAGAAGGTAAGTTGGGGGAAGTCGAATCATTTTGCATCATAGGTGTCATGGGTAGTAAATTGAAGGGAAGTTAATAGAAATAGTCATTTTCATGGATCAAATTCATCTCTTAGCTATTTCTTTTCGGAAATTTCTAAAATATCACTACCTCCTCAACTTGTGGAGGAGCTAAAAGACAAAAAACAAACAATTTTCACCCACTTGCAGAGGTGCCAATTGCGGATCTAGGTGAAAAGTGAATTTGTTTTTCTATCTTCTCACCCACTTGAGAATATGTCTGTTGCAGATCTGGGTGAAAAGTGATTTTTTCGTCTTTTAGCTCCTTCGCAAGTTGAGGAGGTGGCACTTGCGAAGGTAATGATATTTTGGAAATATCCATGGAAAAATGGATAAGAAGACAAAATGTCTTTTGTCAACGTTCATATAGGAACCAGATGAATTTGGTCCTTGGAAATGGATATTTCCCCTAAATAAAATTACCACGAAACCAATATCACCAAAGGCTTCCAACTGCTTTTCTATGTAATATATTCTATGATAGTTATCTTTTGGTTAGATGAAGAAAAAACAGATGCACAGCAATGGTAAGTGTTCTTGGAATGTCATAGTTCAAGTGAGGTCTTGACTCTTAGAGAGTTGCTTATTTTAACTAAAAAATATTGATAAAAGACAAGACTTGAATCATAACCTTTTTTTTTTCCTATAAAAACAAATTATAATTAAATTGTCCTTTAAATTAATTGATTATTATAAAATGAATGCTTTAATTTATTTTAAAACATTATTACAAACAAATTCTACACCCTTATGGGATTTTTAAATCCAATGTTTGTGGTATTTTCTCGAAATTTGAGGATTTCAATTTCAAGCTTTCCTTTAATCTAAATGTGGAGTGAAATCCAATTTCAAATCCCACCATCGCAAACCAATTAGACCCCAAGTTGTTGCTCCTTTATCTATACTATGTTATAAAGCATTTGACAAAAACTTTTAAAGACCATTTTTTATGTATGAAATATTGTTTATTAATACATAATACTTTAAGTTTAAGATTACAAGTAAGTTGTGTGTAGGTATAACTTATTAAAGCTTTATGTTTGAATTTGTGTAACTAACTGCAGATAAATATATAATCAAATAGAGGATAAGCATCTCATTTTAAATATAAAAGATCTAAAATATAATTAGGATAACCGTTGAGTTCTAATAAAATACTTAATTATTATCGTTATAAAAGATTATATTATTAAACCAAAAATAAAAAAACTGAATTAAAGAAATACATAAAAAAAAGAGAAATTGTAAATGGTTAATTTGGTATTAATATAAAAAAAATGCATTTTTTATGATATATCTTTATATTTTATTAAAGACATTATCGTTTTCTTAAAACCATATCAAATCGTATTATAACATCGATCGTGACAAAAAAAAGTTAAAATTGAATTGTATCTCGATATATTGTGTGAGTACCTTTCTAATGTAATTAAATGCGTTTGTAAGTTATTTATATAAATTTAATAGAGTTATATCCCATGCATCATTATCATGTACCTTTGAAAATTAAGTAAAATGCATTGATCATTGGTAGTTGATGTATAATTGGTTTTTATTCAAATTATTAATCGATATATACACATCTTAATATTAGAAAATATTTTTTGTATATTACCGGAAATAAAATATCGTTATGGATATTAAATTATCTATTTAAAATGAAATGTTTATTTTGTATTTGATTATGTTTATCAGTTAATTATATGGATTCAAACATAAATCTTCAAAAAGATGTATTAATTCTACATTAATTTGTGATCTTAAATATTAAGTAATATATATTAATAAACGATATTTGATGTATAAAAAATAGTTTTTATGAATTATCAATAAATGTTGTATAATATAGTATAGATATTTCATAAACAATTAAAAATCAACATATACTCTAGACAAAAGAGTATAATCATCAATTTTATTATGCTTAAAACAATAGGTTAATGTAAACAATAATTTTAAGCTTGTATTTGTCTACATCTAGGCATTGGAATTGGTCCCGACCCATCAGGGAAATCGGTCCACCCGCCTCGGTCAGGAACGGAGATTCCCCATTAAATCGGGTCTTGGGGACGGGGACGGGATTCTCGTTTGGCTCAAACCGAGGATGGGGACGGGGACGGGTATCGCACTCCCTGCCTTGCCATGTACCCGTATATATATTAATTATATTATTTATTATATATTTCTATTAAATTAGTAAATGGTAATTTCTATTTCAATATATTTTGGATATTATTAGATGTGGTTTTGGATATTGCTCAATATATTTTGGTACATATGACGTTAATTTTTTTAGATTAAATTTAATTTATTTTTGTTTTGATTTATTAAATATTATATGATGATATATTTTTTGTATTAAATTAAAATTTCTTTTGATTTTAGGTTCATTGGGAAAATATGAGATTTAAAGATATGTAGTGTTCCACACATTTGATTTAAAAAAACTTGCAGAAACAGGAAAAAAATTCCCGTTTCCCCGTTAGGGACGGGGATGTGATCAAATTCCCCGGTGGGGATAGGGACAGGGACAAAGATGGAGGATCGAGGACGGGGATTGGAGTCCCCGCCCCATTACCGTACCTATCTACGTCATACCTCTTAATGTAATCGTCCTTTTTATCTGACCAACACTTCAAATTTTGACAAACAACATATAGTTCATGAGTCATAAGTTAAAATAGTCATTTTCAAACGTTGGTTTTATCTCTTATCTATTTCTCTCCTAAAATAATCAAAATGTCAATCGATTTGCAAGTGGCATGTTCACGGACGGATCAAAATGTAAAAAGAGTTTCTAAATTATGTCAGACTTATAAAACTACCTATGATCCGTCCATGAAAAATATTGGTGATTTTATTAACAAAATCCATCTCATTTGAGTGAAAGATTTATAGTAATTTGTTTACAAGAAAAAAATATTAGAGACTTAATCACTCAGAATGTAATAGTATGTTGAGTTTTTTCAAACTTTTTTCTTTATTGAACTGAAAGGGTCATGTTTAACCTTAAAAAGGTCAAAAAGTATGTTTTGGGAAAGCAAGGGGTGATTTTAATAAAGGTAAAAGGATGAAAAATGTATAAATTTGTAGAAAGAATGCTTTAGAAAAGTAATGTTTGTAGGACTTTGAGAATGCACTACAAAGAGGTGAGACCTTCTGTTTCTGTGAATGAGCTCGGCACATATGATTATGAAGAATCAATTTGGGAGCTTAACGCCATCAAACATGCAGCCTTGAAGGGATTGATACTTTTGTTCCTTTAAGGATATGTTTGATATACTCAACACAACACAATACAACACAACACAACAGAGTCATTGTTCCACATTTAACATGACTTTCTATGTGGAAGAGACATATTCCACCCACATCCCATGAAACAAGAAGCTCAAAATAAAACATAATTTCCTTTTAAAACATCAAATATACCTCATTTATATTTTATTCAGTTTTTAATTTATTTTAGTTTCGGTACCTTCAACTACATTATCTTCCCCTTTTATACACTTTTACATGCATGAACATGTTAAAGTTTCAGTTGTGATAAAAATAAGTAAATAAATGTGGTTGAACATATATAGAGGTCTTGTTCTCACCATAACTCCTACTAACGAGATTGGTTGACCTGAGCTCTTAATCGGTGCCCAAGAGGCAACTACAAAAATTAACATGGATTTACAGAAACACGGTCCTTCATAATCAATGTGCAATTAATTATATGTTACAAAACCCAGCAAGAAAAAGAAAAAGAGGATTGCAGAAAATAGAAGAGGGAGTTAAGAGACATTGTACTAACCCTGATCATATTATTTGTGTATGTCTTAACTCACAAGCTTGAATGCCTAACTTGCACATGAACCCGATGCCATGATGTGTTTAGAATTCCTCTTAGATTCCATATGTCTTCCACCTTTTCAGGTTGCACATTTGCAGCTGTGTCCACCTGTCCACCAATATTTTAAATATATAAGAGAGGGTTAAAACTGAGGCAACTCACACAACCAGAAACAATTTTCCAAAGCATGCAATTCTTTAGGATGTGTTATAAGGAAATAGTTTCACTCAAGACATAAAACAAAGTATAAACTAGGGTGGTGCCGATTGGTTTGAGCTTAGGCTCCAAAGGTCAAAAGTGCCTGGAGGTCTCAGGTTCGAATTCAAGGAGGAATAAAAATCTCCTTGTGGCCATGAAGGTTCAAATCCGGTAACTCCAGGCTACCCACGAAGCGGGTGGTTGGGCTAGGATTAATCGGCTCGCATACGGGTTGGATATCCAGGTTAATTAAAAAAAAAGTATAAAGTCATTATATTAATCAAGGTCGTCCCGGAAAGTGTACCGATGTGAGAATCTGAACAGGACTTGAAATTTTTATAGTGTTTTATCAATTTAGTCCAGTGCTCCAATCCCTTCTCTCTTCTACCGATTCGCCAATTTTTTAGGTATCTAATTTGAAGATTAAACTCTCCTAGTCGGCTAGTCCCATTTATCTTTCCCGTTTATCTTTATTTTCCGGATACCTAATTTTATGATTGAAGCACCAAACACGACACTGTTTAATAATATTCCTCTTCTTGTTTGATGACCAGCCTCACCAACAATTTCGTTGACTTCATTCATAGTGATACTGATTATCATTGTTCAGAGCACTATATCATTTTGATAACATACAGAAAAGTTGAGAGAGCCCTAGAATCGAGCTAAGGTTTCTTGAGAACTGGAGGTAAACAACAGTTGGCAAAAACTCCAATATGCTAATTTGTCAATATAACACATTATTGGAGGAAGTTGACTATGAAGAATTAATTGATGATTTTGTTTCAAACAATGTTAGAAGAAATATTCTACTTAAGTATATTATGTATGTCACTTTGTCATTTAAGACATTTTTCTTGTTTTAATTTGTAAAACCTTTTTATTTAATATATGACCTGCACTTTTATATTTTGTCCTGGTATAAGTGTAACAGGGCCTCCAAAAAAATTGGAATGGCCCTGATGCTAATATGACACAAAATATGTTGGTTAGATTAATAGAGACAGAGATGACATACTGCTTTAGCAACTATCTCTGTGTTGGAGTGTATATCAGCCTCTGCTTCAAAAAGTACCCATGCCCATTTGTCGCTTCTTTCTTCATCAGCAATGTATTTAATGCCAGGCTTCTGGTATCTTGATGCCTCTATCCAGGTTTTACCCCCATCAACGGATATATCGACTCGCTCAATTCCACGTCCACCTCCTGAAACTGCATATCCTTTTATAGCTATCTGCACAACATGTTTAACAAATAAGTTATCATATAATCTTCTATATTGACCTATTTGCTATGAAGGATCATAAAGCAACTTCACCCGAACAAGCAAAGTAACAATTTTTTGGGAAAATGACAAATACATCCATCCAAGCAAATCATCTTATCGCTTAAATCATAGAATTATAGAAATCCTTGTAGATTTTAAGTTTAGGGATCAAGAGTAGATGTTAAGAATGAGGTGGAACGGATAAAAAATGCATTCAGAACTGAAACTAGATTCACAGAAGTTCAATGTTTCTTAATTTCCATGTTAAGAACAGGCGGCTATATGTGGATTAGTATGCCTCTTATAACCTTGTATTTAACACATGAGTACTGTAAGCAAAGAAATGTACCAACCTTTCCATTCGTTCCGATGTTCATGTCCTCCAAGGAGCATATTGCACTCTGCAATAAACAACTCACACATGAAGTCAAAAATATTAAGCTGAGTATGAACTCCTTGCTACACTCATAAGCAGATGTTAGTTGTGGTATTATTTAGTATTTACTAGATTTCTGATATCCTCATGACCAAAAGATCACAAATTCCAGACACTGGAACCAAGACAAATACTGCTCCAGCTTCGACTGCCTCACTGAATATGAACATTTACATTCCAAAAAGTAGGGCATACTTATATGGACCCGATGGCTATCTATTGAAACTTTTCTAGATTTTCAGGTATTCAAACCACGTAAGAAAAAATTTACTCCCTTGGTTCCAATCTGACTTTTCAGCATCAAATGTGTTTGTTTTCAATTGATTTCAAATAATTATTTTGGTTCAAGGGAAAAAAATGCTAACTACACTAATCTATTCCAAGAGTGTTAGAATAAGATCATTTTGGTGTATAGAGAAGTAATATTTAGGTTAATTTGGAAGATCGGATGTACTAGGTTAGATTTGCAAAATCATAAGTGGACTGTCTTTTGGGATGAATCCACTGGATGGCATTTCAAACAACTCTACATCCCAGAATGATGTGACAGTTGCACAGTTAACCCCCC